CTGGGATGAAATTGGAGAGTTAATTTCCAACAGAACTAATTAAGAAAATCTGGGAAAAATCCAAGTTCCATGTAAAAATCTGGTAACTGATCAAGAAAATACCCGATTTCCTGTCCGTTCAAGCCGCCCACTGACTTCTCCGGTTCCATAAAAGGATGTCCCAGAAGGAAACTGTGATAATATAAAGTAAGAAAGACAGGGTATTATCGGGAATCAAACAGAAACTACACTTGCAATATCAAGTAGAAACAGAATATTCACATGATCACAACATATACAAAGTTACCAGAGCTTTTAGAGAGAGAGAGAGAGAGAGAGAGAGAGAGATATCCTTACATGTGATAGGGAAAAACATGATTCCCAATAATACCCTGTCTTTCATAGAAACATGGTAATTTTCTAAGAATTAACAAATTGTTCCGTCACCATTGCAGATACACCATCATTAGACTGATAATTGCGTCCACACCCACTTAAGAAGCCAAAGTGCATACTGTCAACCACGTATTAAATCTATAATGCACCACTTTTCATGATCATGTTCCATTTTTCGCTGTCTAGAGTGTTTACTTGGGTTCTTTTTAGGCGTCTTATGCACTGCCCTATATTTCCGTAAGCAAACTTGGAACGTTTAACACCATAACAATCTTCGTGAACAACACGCTTTGTCGTTTTACTACCAAGGCTGAAGATTCTCGTGATCCCTAACAGACTTCAGGTTATACAGAACGGCATCCCATTCAAAATAGATGATGGCCTCGGGAGAAAAGGTCGAGGGGAATAATGAAGCATCGATCAAGGAAGTAAATGTTACGGCGAACCTGGATCGTGACCATCTGCTGGCCACGACGACGCTCGAAGGCGGGGACGTACTCGGGAACCCGACGAACCGCGATCGGAGCCTCCCTGACATTAGGATCCGCGAAGGAGAGGCTAGGAAACGCCGCAGCTCTGTCGGTCTCGGAGCAATCGAACCGAAAGACCCCCTCCTCGAGAATCGGCTCGAAGACCATCGCCCCGGCCGCACCATTTCCCTCGGAACCCTTTCCTTGGTCCATCGTCGGCTTATCCGATCGCCCACCTCTCCAGATCCAGCTCCAGCTCCAGCTCCAGCCCGAGCTCGAGCACTCGACGATGCTCCTCCTCCTCGACCCGCACCTGCAACGGTTTCCACCGACTCGTTCCAATTTCTTGGCGAAAACATCCAGAAGGGAGGACGGAACGCACCTTGTTGAGGAACGCGATGAAGACGAAGCGATGCAACCCTCGGCAGTCTTCTTATTTACCAATGATAAAATGGCCCGCTGACGGGCGAAAAGAATGCTGGTGTCGACTATATAGGATGTCATGGTATCTGATTCCACTTCTCTTTTCTTTCTCCTCTTCTCTCTCTCTCTATCTCTCTCACACACACACACACTGCATTCAATTAGTTAGCCGGTGGGCTTACTCAACCAATTGCGGTCATCCGACTGTCGCAAGGGGGAGTATTTAAATGGAGAGCGGATAGGACGCACGTGACGTGGCTTGTGCGAAACCGTCAAGCCTCCGAAACGACTTGTGAAGGGTCACGTGGAATTGGAACTCGAGCGAGCTCGAGAGTTGCAACTCCTCGGTGCCGTGTCGGTCACGATTTGCCGTCCAGGGAGACAGCACGGAGATCGTCTTGGCCTTCTGGGAGCGTACTTGAAGAACAGGCCTGCAAGTTACGAAAACTTGTGGCAAATTGTGATTGATAAGCCAAAAAGGAAGATAAGTTATCAGCGTGCAAGTCACGCAGTACAGCAGAGGTTGTCTTCTCCGTGCAAACTTGAAGAACAGACCTGCAACTTTTGTACCGTCATGCACAATGTTCCAAATAACATCGATTGAGAACTCTCGTGATTCCTATCGTAGAAAGTTGATGAAACTGTTTAGGGTTTCGGTACATCGGTTCAGTTGATCGCGACTAATTGTGACTCGTACATCGAGTTCGGTCAGTGCCAATTAAGTGCGCATTTTAGCAATATATATATAGAAAACAACTATTCTATAGTCATTAGGGATGGTTATAGAAGTCTAATTACATATTACTTTTTTTTATAATTAAAAATTTATATTGAGTTTTTTATTATTCTAAAAAAAATAAAAATTTTATTTATTCTAACATCGTCAGTCTATTGATGGAAAACATAACACGTGATATCATGTGTTGAATTGATATAAAATTGATGAATAAAAAATAATTTTAATATTTTTTTATTTATAACGATTTTATCAACAAAAAGATAATTTTAACATCCCACGTGTTGAGAAACGAAAAAGGTATTAAAATTATCTTTTTGTCCATCATTTTTGTATTGATACGATACTTGATTTCATGTGTTATGTTTTCTATCGATGTAGTTGATGATATTAGGACAAATAAATTTATTTGTTTCACTTTAAAAATTATAAAGATTTTAATATAAAATTTTTAAATGCAGATATTGTGATACTAATAGCATCCAAACATAAAGGGTAATATGTAATTAGTTGGACAAATATTGATAAGATAGATACTTCATATTTTAAGCTATTGAAAACTAGGTTGAACTTTAACACTATGATTGATTTTTTTTTCCTAAATGATTTTGAATGTTAGAAGGATGTCATTATACCTTTGTCATAACTTTTTCATCTGACTTTTGTGTTCTTCTTTCTACTGTCACCTAAGTTAATTATAGATTTTTTTATAATTAGTCATATTTAATATCTTAATCTCTATACTTTTAAAAGTTATATTAAAATCTTTATACTTATGAAAGTGAAATATTTAATCATGTTTCGCCTTACGTCGTTAACTTTATTAATGAAAATATCATAAGGTTTATCATCGAACATATACGGTATTTTCATTAGTAGAATCGATGATTAAAAAAAATAAGGTTAAATATTTTACTTTTATAAGTATAGGAATCCCAATAGAACTTTTGAAAATATAGAAACTTGATGCTAAAAATAATTAATTATAAAAGATAGTATAGAATTAGCCCTTGTCTTCTCCTGGTGGACCCCTTAATCTCCATTGGGCAATCGTATCTCTGAGAGTGATCGCCCTATACAAATTTGGCGAGAGCTCCTTTATGTTAGGTCTTCCTCTAATCGAGATCATGCCCTAATGAATGCTTGTGTTCTCTCAAGATCAACAATGCTATCTTCCACTCCTCCAGGTTGGGCCTTTGGTATGATGTTGAGTGAGGCACTTCAAGACAAACTTAAATATAGGCCATCTATCTATCTATCTCAAAGTATGTTGTTTGGTACGTTGTTCATTAATCAACCCCCCTATCGTTCCTTATCCCTTCATACATATTCAAAACGATGGGCCATCTATCTATCTCATGGACATTGGTACTCATTAGTTCTTGAAACACTTTGGAGATCTTTTTTCCCAACAACTCTCTAAATCCCCAAAAAGAGCTTTAAAGGTACAAATAATTCGTCTCAGGTATAAGATGTAGAGGAAAGAGTTTTCATGTTCCAAAGATATATAGTGTCATATTTGGCAAAGATGATCCTAACCCATGGACGATTAAATTCATTAAAACACCGACAAACATCTACTTCACTTGGGGTTTTGTATCTGCTTCACTTTTTTGTTCTTACCCCCACACCAAGTTTCTACTGAAAATTATCAGGTAAACATCTCAAGCTATTCCTTTTATGATGCTCAAATGCAACTAATTATCTCTAAGAACTTGTCACCACTACTTGTATCTGCTAATTATTCCAAGGATTTATCATCATCAATAGTATTTGCTAATCAACATTGTGGATTTTGGAACAATCAGCAAGAACTAAATGGTTGGTGGGACTGACTAGTATCTGAAACCACTAAGCAACATGCTGTTGATTTAAAATTATCATTTTTTTCTTCTAATTTTTCATATTTAAAATTATTGACAATTATTTATTTATTTTATTGTAAATGAGGTTTAATTTGTCCAATAAAAAAAATATTAAGCATATTCTGTGGTAGGATTTGATAAGAGAAATATTCATCCAATCGAGATTTGACATATAGTCAGGATCTCAATTTAATATGAATTTTGAAAATATTTTCTCTAATTAGACGAATCATAAAAGGTCTTTGGATCAATTCTCATTCATTCTAAATTTCTTATTCTTTCACTCACTTTAGCGTTAGAGGAACTACGTTAGAAAATCAACAAGATCTTTATATAGATCGGCATAAGTCGAACAGTCGAGATCCTCTCGACCAAATATAAAGATTTATGAAACATTTAGATTCGAATCAGATCGTATTGATCCAAATATTATTAATATTTTTCATGATAAAATTTAACATAAACTAAAAATTTAACGCATTAAATTTGGATGAATTGATGCGTTGAAGCTTTAACATGAAGGCGGTTAATCAAGTGACGATGTGGGCAGCTGTGCACGTGGTTGGCTGCGTCCCTCCTCCACACAGAGAGAGAGAGAGAGAGAGAGAGAGAGAGAAGGTGGTGCAAGATTCCCCGTGCGGGTGCAACCGGCATCAGATTCCGGTGTGTGCGGCGTGGACCCCATCTCATCCGACAGTACAAGTGTGGAGGACGGCGTAGATTCTTATTCTCCGCCACCCAAATTCCCTGTGTCCGGCTTTCCCTACCCTGCCGATTATTAAACCCTCCTCTTTCCCACAGCTGATCTGTCCGGGAATCTTAGACCGAACCAATGGTCTCAGCTTTTCTTGGTCTCCGTAAGTTAACCTGCGCCACCGCCTCTCGATTCCAAGTGTTGGTGATGTTGAGACAATGGACTGTGCGATCTGTCGTCTCTCATGGATCGGCAGCAGCGGTCTGCAATTCGGATGCAAATGAATGGGACAGCGAGAACATCCATCTTGGTCTTCTCGCATTTAGACGATAACATCATACCATACCGTGCACAGCAACCCCACACATGTTCGCCGTCCACATGCTAATCCAAGACTTCTTATTCCAGTTCTATGGCTCCCGTGATCCAAGAAAAAAATCAGCAGACGAGTTCTATATGGTCCGCATTGATTGACGGGAGGGAGAGGAGAATAGGAAAAGCCTGCACAGAAGCGGAGCCCCGTCGGGCTGCACCTCCGACGTGGGGAATATTCCCGCGTCACCCTCCCTTGTTTCCGACCGAACCGATCCTAATCGTGTTCCGAGGTGCAACGTAGACGCAGTTGCTTCCTCGTCAGACACGAGGAGACCTCCGATTGGACTGCCGAGCGTTACGATCTCGAGTGGTTGCTGCTGTCTCTCCTCCTCCTACCATTCCCTCGCTCTCACGTTTTCACTGATTCGTCGCCGGGAATCCGTCGGTCTCATCCTCCCACAACGCCTCCTTTTCCGCTAGTATTTGCTTGTTTATTGATGTCAAGTCAACAGTCCTTATCCTCTCCTCTTTCAATTGGGTTTGTGTGTGTACTATGCATGTTGATCTGATCTAAATCTCGAGTTTCGGCCTTGCTTTCTGCCGCTCTTCTTCGTTCCATCATCGAGAAAAAGGAGATTGGCAAAAGAATGAGACCCGGAATCGGAATCCATGGCTTTTGACAAAGCAGTCTGTGCTTAAAGCTAACGAACGCAGCAGCGAAAGAGCAAAAGTTTTGGTTGGCATGTGAGATGGAGAACATTTACCAACGCCGTCCACCACTGGCAGCATCGCTGTTCGAGGCACCCGGAGGGGAAGGAGCTGGAGTTATGCTGTCGAGAGACCCGAAGCCTCGGCTAAGGTGGACGCCCGACCTCCATGACCGGTTCGTGGACGCTGTCACCAAGCTCGGCGGACCCGACAGTGAGTGTGCATATATGTACAGCTTCCATCATTTCCACATAATTCTGCTTCCACGCATCACAGCAGCAATGTAATCCTATTAGCTGCCACTGGCAATCTGTATATAAGGAGGAATTGGGGCAGCGTGAGAGCAGAGTCTGAGAAGCATGGTGGCGCCGTACATGCCTTCCTCCCACCTCGCTGAAGCTTCGTATTTCTGAATTGTAGATCTGAGTAAATTACGATCGAATTATGATCGTTAATTAAAATTATGTGATCAATTTGGCAGAAGCGACTCCAAAATCAGTGCTAAGCTTGATGGGCATGAAGGGGTTGACGTTGTACCATCTCAAGAGTCATCTTCAGGTCACATCTCTTCGTCCCACCTTCTATAGTCTATTGTTACGGTTCTGATCTTGCTTTATCTGTCTGCAGAAGTACAGACTTGGAAAGCAAACCAGAAGAGAGACAGAACAGGAAGCAAAGAAAAAAGGTAGGTCAAGGCAGGCCACCATAAACTGAGAGAGTACATAAATTCTCTTGAATTGAGCATTCATGCCTGCTTTTTATTCCTCATACAGGAAGCAATTCAAGCAAGATTAATTGTTCCTCTACCACCAGCAATTACGTTTCAAGAACAGACGGTGCCGGGTATGTGTATGGCACCAAACTCTGCTTTTACATATCATTGCGTATAAATGTAAGCTTTATACAAGAAATTGCAAAGCATTAACAAAGATCATAGGCTGCATACAAAGCATCAATGAGTTCTGCAAAAAATAGGACTGTGTTAAAGAAAAGAAATCGCGGAGAATAGCTTCTCGACTCGAGATACTACAAAGAATTTAATAGCTTCGAACAAACCATGGAAGTTTTGCCAAGCGTATGAATCTTAGCAGTAATGCTTAGTCTGTGATGCTTATTACAACGACATGGATTCAAATGTTTGTACAGTTGATGTAATTTTTGTAATTTAGCAAACCCGTGAACTCCAGGCTTTGATTTATGCTCTCCAATTTATATCCGTCATCTGATGATTCACAATCCATGCAGAGAAATGCCCCTTGGAGAGGCGTTATGCTATCAGATCGAAGTGCAGAGGAAACTGCAGGAGCAGCTGGAGGTAAGCCTAATGGGGTGTGGCAAACAAAGGCTCTACTCCCTGTAACATTCACGATATTACTTGACCAGGTACAGAAGAAATTGCAAACCAGAATCGAGGCTCAGGGGAAGTACTTGCAAGCAATACTGGAGAAAGCTCAGAAGAGTCTTTGTTTCGACAATAATCGCTCGTCAGGCAGTTTGGAAGCCACCAGAGCCCAGCTTACGGATTTCGACCTGCCACAATCAGGCTTGATGGAGAACGTCGGTCGGGTTTGCGAAGAGAAGCACTCGGAGCTGAGAGAAGTGCGGCCACAGGAGAACATCAAGAAGAGGAACAATTCAGGGTTTCAACTTTATCAGGAAGGTAGAGATGAGGCCGAGGACAGTTCTCTTCTTCTGCTGGATTTGAATGTGAAGGGAAGCAGCGGTGAGATGGTTGGTGGATCCAGAGGAAACGACTTGGATCTCAGAATCCAAACGCAGGGGTTGTAAACCAGCTTTTACTGTCGATCTGCACTTGCAGACACATCCGATGCTGTCATTGTGCGCATCGAGTTGATATCGAGTCTATGTTTCCTACAGCGTAAATCTTTATACTGCGGTTTGCTGTTTTGCTGAG